TTTCAGAAAGTTACAAAATAAAAAACCAGCGGTTTGAAAATTATGACCTCAAATCAAAACTATGGCCATAATACCTGCCTTTACCCTATATTTTATTAGTAGAATGCGTGGTAAAATTTCAAACAACTCTCATAAAGTTCTTCAAAATACCACGTTGTCTCACGATCACTTCATTTTTTGGATAAATTTAAAAAATTCTCTCCGTGCGTCACTACTGAGAGTTTTTTCAAATTTTACCATACATTTTATTAGTAGAATGGGTGTTAAAATTTCAAAAACTCTCATACGGTTTTTCAAAATGCCGTCCCACGATTACCTGATTTCCAGGATAAATTTTAAGAAAAAATTCTCTCCGTGCATCACTACTAATTGTAAGATTTTTTCCAATTCTACCACACATTTTACTAGTGTATATATTTTACTAGTAGAACGTGCGCTAAATTGCAAAAACTCTCATAAAGTTGTTCGAAATGCCACGATTACACGATTTTCGAGGTAAATTTTAAAAGAAATTTCTCTCCCCGTGTGGGATTAACTTGTCAACGAATGCAAAGTAAACCCAATTATATGGAAATAGCTCGTAAAAAGTGCATGAAAAATGGCGGTTCCCGCAAGATACCCAGCAGATGGTCGTAAAACTGGCTCTCCCAATGGTCGTTGAATGCGTCGCGTAAATTTGATCGACGATATTTAAGTTGTCGCGATCGGCAAGTGCATTTCGTCACGTTTAATCGACGTAATTCAAACGCGCGCGAGTTCGGCTTGATACTACCGGACGAATAAAATGCATATCCCGGATAAAAAGGCGCGCGCTCTCCATCCCGGGGAATTCCCGCGAGTCATGACTCGCCGTACAAGCGGCGCGAAGTTTGACCGTTAAACTTCTCTAAGCGTGGTTTAGAGTCCCCGCCGGCGAATTCGCACGCGCGTTGATATTGGTTTCGCTGCTCGCTGTTTAAACTTCAGGTGCACGGTTAGTCGTTTATTGCTTTTATTGCTACGATTATTATTAGCGGCGAGTCCCGTATGCACGGGGAGGGAAAACTGCGAGAATCGTGAGATACGGTCGAGTTAAACGACTTTGCGAGAGGCGGGTGTGTACGATACGGCCCCGGAGTTCGTAAGCCCGACGTCTGATCGAATCATATTCGATAGAAGTCCAGAATTTACGGGACTTTTTCTCTTTTGCTACATTTGAATTCAAATGCTATAATAATGAAAAAATTCATGAAAGAACAGACGCAGATTTTTGCATATGTGCGAGATATGAAATAAAATTCAGGTTTGGATAAAAGCGAGATTTTCCAGTAGTGTTCTGGAATCGAAATGTATTTTATCTCTCGCTAGTAGGTAACAACGATGTTTTTACCGCGTTAACACAATGATTTACGCAGAATTGTGTAATATCCTCTCTGTATAAAAAAAAAGAGAAGAGTAAAATAGATAAAATTTTAACAATCGAAAGAGAAAGAGAAGATACTTTTGTTAATTAAATTAATATAAATTAATCTAGAATGTAGAGCATGTATTCATCGTATGGTTAATCTGGTAAATTGCATTTTCAACCCTGTTATTCTTGTGCGTACGCAGCATTTTAATTATCTAAGGAGATTAACTTATCCTAATTATGTTATATTCAGCCAGTGCATTAATGTTGCCGTGTGTCAACCGTATTGCGCGACGCGCCGCGCTTATCACATTTATGCTGTATGCTAATTTCGTATATATGCGAAGTGTACGAGCGCAGAGCCTGGGACGTATTTTTATCAGCGCTGACTTTATTATATTTTTGTCGCTCTATCTGTGCCACGTGAATGACGCGAGTGGCACGAGCGAGAGGTTTTTATAGCCACCAGCACACACCCCGGCCCTAGGTACCGTCCGGGGGAAACCTAGGGCGAGGTGCGGTAACGAAATGGAATCCGGGTGGCATGTTATCGTATTTTATGTCATCCGTATTCTCGGCCACACTCAAATGCCTTGCACGGAAGCGGATATTTTTAACGCCGCGGATTCAGAAGCGGGAATTTCCATCACTTGAATGTCATTGGCCCCGCGAACGTTTTGATCGATTTCCCCGCTATCGGTTTATCGGGAAACATACGACGTGTCCCCAAAATGAATCATCGCGGCGGAAAGAATAAATTTAAAGGCCTGAAAACTTGCCCTTTTCGAATAGAACGGGCGAGATCTGTCGGGAATAATCCGACGCGAGTCGGGACATGGTCATTTCTCCTCAAAATGCAGCGAGAAGTGGGAGAGGAAAGATGACAAGTCGCAATTAAATGCGTCTCGCGCTGTGAAGGATGTCTCAGGCTCGATCTCACCAATGTCGCTTAACTTTAATCTTAGCTTGATTCATCCTTCGTTTCCTTCCATCTGTCGCCTCGGAAAGAGGCGAGGACTGAATTAAACTGATTGTGAGATTAAAGTTAAGCGACGTCGGCGAAACCGGGCCTTAGGGACTAAAGCGTTACGCGTGATATTTGCCTCGCGACAGGGCGGAAAATCTACGAGGAAAAATTCGCGTCCCGCGCGATATCGCTCCGTATATCCGCCCTTACGTTAATTCCCGCCCGACAATCTCGGCAAATTGACTCAAGTGTCGCCCTCGCTTTCTGTTTCAGCTGTACCGCCATACGTACCTGGCCCATTACAGGATCGTGAACCTGGACACTCTGTAAGTAAACGAGCCGTGTCGCCGCGGCGTTTGCGACAATCATATCTCAAATTTATTCCGCGATTTCAAGTTCGGATTTGCATTTTAATCTCGGCCCTCGAGAAAAGGAGGGGGGGGGGAGCGAGCGGGGGGAATCGGGAAAAGCCGCACACCGCGCCGCGTGCAAATTACAAACTGCGCGCGAATTTAATCCCGCACCATCTTACCGTCTCACCACCTTGCCCGCCTCCGGCGCGTCCCGCTTCCCCGTCCGAGAACTTTCCCTCGCGGATTTGATCATTAACTCAGCATTTAGGAGCGGTTATATCACGATTACCGGGCCCGCCGCTCCCGATCTCTCCCCTCGTCCCGCGCCGGCGAAAGAATTTAAAGCTGTCTTCCGAGGTACGAGCTTACCCGCTCGGTTGCGTTGCACTTTCCGCGATATCGGGACGTTCGCCGGCCTCGCGGGGGCAGGACAAATCGCGGCCTCTTAAGAGCCTCCCCATCCTCTCCGGAAGAATTTTTGACGACGAGACAAAAAATATTCTTGACACGTTTAAAGTTACCGCGGCCTCATGCGGTAAAAGACTTTTCTCGGATTGAATAAGATTGACTTACCGTATTGAGATACGAGTGATATATTGTACCAATAAATTTTAGTTTGCGTGTACTGCAGTTTATTCTAGATTTCAGAAATCTCCATTTAAGATAATTGCAGCTGTTGTATGTACGTTAGATTGAAGTGCAACAATACCGGATCCGGAAATCGTTTTCTGCATTTCTAACGGCACTTTCTTTCACTCGTGTTAAGGCAATGCTGGAGTGATTCTGCACTTTTTGCACCTTTCGCTCCTAGAACTGTCAGTCCATGAAAATCTTTATGTGTGATGTACAAATTATATTGTTGCATTTTGTACAGACCGACGGTGTTTCACTAATCGGACTGAATCAGAGAACAGCACGGTATCATAGAAATTAAATTTACAAGCCTTACAAAAAATTTATTCGCTTATAACTTATTCGAGTGAATAGATTTTTTGCTAGGCTTGTACACTTAATTTCAATGGTACCATGCTGATTAGTGGAACACTGTCGGTCTGTACACAAAGGCCACAATGATACCAAGTTACAGATTACCTAACCTATAACCTATAACTTAATCGAGTGAATAGATTTTTGTTAGGCTTCTACACTTCATTTCAACGATACCACGCTGTTCTCTCATTTAGTGGGAATAGTGGAACACTCTCGAGCTGTGTCCTAAGTCTCACAGTTTGTGTACTACGCAAATATTTTCTCGAATTGACAGTTCTAGGGGCAAAAAGTGCAGAATCACTCCAGCGTCCCCTTAAGGATTCCTCATTGGTTCCGAAGTAAATATCTTATTAAACGTCTCGTTTCGGTGGACCGTTTCGGTATATCGTTAACTCTGATTCAAGTATTAATTAGAGCCGTATGTAAATTAATATCAACAATCTGTTTAGTATTCCTCTTGTTAAATTTATTTGTGCATTTCGCCTGCCCACGTTAAACCGCATATACATATATTTGTTTACTCGTTAATTCTACAATATATACGAGAATATAAATATTATTGTTGTTCCCTATCCGCTATTTACTTGTGGAGCGTGTACACAAATGTACATAAATTCTCATAAAATATGGAACACTAATTAATGTATACAAATAAACACGCGTACAAATGCTCTTCCAACGGATTTCGAATTGTTTACCCCCGCGATTAAGATTTATGATTCGGCGCAATAAGCGAGGAATAAATTTCTCCCGCGACGTTATGCATTATCAATGCCTTTATAGAGAGAAGGCGGGCGATTCTTTTATATTAGCCGAACTTCTCGGAGTTTAAATCACCCGAAAAACTAGGTCGCCCGTGAAACTCGCAAAATTTCGGAGACCAATTTCTCACGATCGCGCAAAACCGCAGAGAGACTCTCTCTCTCTCTCTTTCTCTCACTCTCTCTCTCTCTCTCTCTCTCTCTCTCTGTCTTGTGGAGGAATCCGCGGGGATATAAGGTCGTCCTTGTCGCGGATCCCCGCCGTTCGCACTTCTCCAAAGGAGCCGATGTGCCTTGAGGTTCATCCACGCGGAATCCATGAGGCTGCTGCAATGAACCTCACCGCACTGCAGCTTCGAGAGAGAGAGAGAAAGAGAGAGAGAGAGAGAGGAGAGAGAGAGAGAGAGAGCCCGATTCCGCAAAATTTCGCCGTTATGTGCGGATGCCTGGGTGGTCCCCGACGGCAAGTGAATCCCATGATTTTGGACTTTACCGTCGCGCTTGAGATCATCGTACTCAAATAGTCGCGCAGATCAAACCCCAGTCCGTTTCTGAACGTGATTCGCAGACGCAAAGGCCGCGCACGTCATCTTTGCACACAGCAGCGGCTGTTTCACGGTTTAACCGCGCAACCACCGCGCGAGGGGCGGACGCCCGTGCTCGTAGCTGTCAAGTTTGAGTTTCGTCGTTAGCTTTGGGGAAAAGCTGGATTTTAAGGCGAAACCCGCGAACGAGACGCCGCAAAGGATTATTTTCCGAGTAGCACATTTCAGAGTAGAATATATTCAATTTTCACATAATTGCCGACAAGACAATTCATTTCCAGTTGAAAATCCGGACGATTGCCTTACTTGATAAATTTCGAACACACTTTTGTTCGAAGAACACGCGAGTGTGACGGGGTAAAATTAAAATTAAGAATAAATTGCAGAGTAAAATGAATAAATGAATAAAATTAACGGCACACTATATATGTGTATCTGAATTATTTTGCGCGTCTTCGGACATGAAAGTATACAGGCTATTATTTCAAACGAATAAAACGCCCAATCGTCTATTTCACGATGAATTTTACAGACAAATAAAATCCATTGTGTGGACCGCCTGACGGCGGTATCGCGCGGGAGTGAAAAGATAAACGTGCATTCTTGAGAAAACGCGGAACACACCCTCGCCTCTGACACATATATCGCGCGCAATGGTACGCGCCGTAATTTCAGCCGCGTGCGTTTTGACATGAGGAAGTGATTTTCCTTCCGCGGAGCGTATGCCGCCAGACGTTTTCCGGAACGTGAGAAATAACGCCGGGACGAGCGACGAAATAAATTCCTTACGAAATTTACACTCATTTGCATTTGTATTTGCGATACGCATCCGACTCATTCGACGCAGGAAAATGGACTCGCGCCAAGACGTTACTTCGGCCGCAGATAAAACGTTCCGCTCTGAAACGCTTTCTACTTGCAATTGTAATAATGGTGTCGTTGCGTGTGCGTGTGTGTGTGTGTGTGTCTGTGTGTCCGAAATCTCTCTAGCCGCGTCGAATAAAACACGATTGGAGTTTGCGCAAGAGAAAAATTATTTTCGCCGTTAGTTTTCCGACTGGCCGAAGCTCAGGTCGAACTCTCCGCGATACATCGATTTATATACATGGAGAAAATTGTTACTTAAAATTTATTCTCAAAATTATGCGATCGTGGGTATTTCGAAGAATTTTGACAATTTTTTGAAATTTTCCTATACATTTTACTAGTGGAATGTGTGGTAAGAGTTGGTGTACCCTAAGAATTATGTAATCCTGAAATAACATGAAATAACCACACATTCCACTAGTAAAATGTACGGTAAATTTGAGAAACTCTCAGTAGTGATGCACGGAAAGAATTTTTTCTTAAAATTTATTCTGAAAATCATGTAATCGTGAGACAACGTGGCATTTTGTACAACTTCATGAGTTTGTTGAAATTTCACCATATATTCTATTAGTAAAATGTATGGTAAAATTTGAAAGAACTTTGAATAGTGGTGGACGGAGAGAATCTTTTCTTAAAATTAATCCTGAAAATCATGTATAATCGTGGGACAACGTGGCATTTTGAAGAACTTTATGAGAGCTTTTTAAAATTTTACCATACATTCTACTAGTAAAATATATATGTAAGTATTGTACAATATGTTGTGTATAGTATATACAATTATAGTTACTAGTAAAATGTATGATAAAATTTGCAAAACTCTCATAAAGGTCTTCAAAACGCTATGGTGCCCCACGATAATTTTCAGGGTAAATTTTAAAAGAAAATTCTCGCCGTGTAAATGTCAAAATCATAATTTGAGCAATTTTCTGTCGTGATCAAAATATGATTTAATAATCATTACGCTACAATTGTGACTTCATCGTGACTTCTTGTTTTGTTTAGGCTGTTATTAAAAATGTCTCTTCTTTCATTATTTCCGGCCGGCTTAAAAAATCAAAGAGCACCAAGTGGGCGAAATTTTTTTTCTCCCCTTTTTATGCGAAAACCGCAACACGACGGTTTGTTCGCGCGTGGTGGCAACGGCGTGGAGAACAGTCGCGGGGAGGAAGCGGGGCAGTAAACTCGCCGTCGTTTTTGGCTCTCGGTGTCGCGATAAAAGGCGGAACGAGGATACACCGGGTGTACCCGGGGGGCGAAGGCAAAAGCGCAGGGAACGAGGCGGGTAAATAAGCCGTGAGAGTTACCCCGCGATATATTCCGGCCGAGGCGAGGCGAGGCGAGCCCTGGTCCCGCCATAAACCCGGTTTGTACGCCGCATGAATACCGGCGCCTTTATTTATGGCTTTTCGGGAGGAAGTTTGCCGCGACGGGACGACGAGCGATCCGGCGACGACACGGGGCGGTCACGACGTCGCGCGCCTTACGCTTTTCATCGATTTCCCCGCGGCCGACTGTGCGAAAGCGCCGCGGGTCATTGCGCGAATCTTAACCGGAGAGACCCCCGGGTTCTTTCGCGGTAGGAAGTGGTCGAATGGCTCGGCGCACTCTGATCCAGCTTTTTAAGAACTCGCCAACATTTGTCTCGCACCCCAGATCCCCCTCCCGGTTTAATTCGATGGACTTCCGTCTTTGATAAGTACACGGAGAGAATTTTCTCTGGAAATTTTTTCTGAAAATCACGTAATCGTGGAACGACATGGCATTTTGAAGAATCTTATGAGAATTTTGTTAACTATACCATACGTTTTTACTAATAATTATACTTAGTAGACGTTTTGCTACGTTATGTCATGCTGTGAAACTTTTTACCCTGAAAATCATGTAATCGTGGAACAACATGGCATTTCGAAGAATCTTATGAGAGTTTTTGAAATTTCACCACACATTCTACTAGTAACATGTATGGTGAAATTTGGCAAAACTCGCAGTAGTGATGCGCGGAGAGAATTTTTTGGTAAATATATCGATGAAGGGAGCCAGCCCCGATGACCTTGACCTTGACATATGTTGTCAAGGTCGCCCTCCTGAGTGACCTTGAAGAGGTTTTAGCCGTCGCTCGTAGTTCGTTAAAAAGTTATATGCATACAAAGTTGATTAAATAAAGCATAATTTTACGAATCATATACATGTCTTGAGAAGTACGCATGCATGGAGACATCGGGGGAAACCCCCCACCCCCATCGCCCCCCG